GACAGCAATCCCATGGTTATACTCATTCTTCAGATGAATTTTAAATAGTTTGTCCAGAAGTGAAATTGGTAGCAATAACTAAGCTTGCACATGCTCAGGCAATAGCTTAACAATGATCATTCATGCCTGACACTTGACTGACAGATAAGACATATCCTGATTTCAGAAATGAAATTTCTTACAAATTCTCTGTATTTCTTACAATGGAAGAAATATAGAACCATAGCAAGCAAGGGGAACTTTTTCTTTTCTTTTTTCCTTTTTCTTTTCCATAACTTAAGCAAGATTTGGTCACCAATTCAGAAAATCTCATCATCAGGATAATGCTACTCATGGTATTCGAGCCACAGGTGAAACCTACCTGTATCAGGCTCCTTCCATGGTGACTGTAACAACAGGTGTAACTTTCTAAATGCTTTGTCATTTTTTATAATGTAGGCATGTTAATGCCTTTACACTGAAACACACTGTTATAAATTACCTTATTTTTCTTTTATATCACACTCAAGTCATTAAAATGATGTTTTTCTATTTAGGTGTGTGAGAGATTATATTACCTATGAATTTCATTTCAAAAAAGTAAAGCCTTTTAGAAAATATCTGTTATAAAAATATAACATTGGGTCTGGTAGGGTTTAGAAAATACTGAATGTAAGGATCATGAATAACTGTTTTCTCTCTACATAGAAAGCAAATCCTTGGGCACTTTCCTAACAAATACTAGTATGAGTGTGGATAGAAAAACAGGGGAGGAGGCAGAAAATTACTTACTAATTTAATACTAAGGTAGGATAGTTTTATGCTCTTATTTTAAGAAATGACTTCTCATTTTGTACAGAGAACATGATCTCTTGGGTCAAACTACCTGGATTCAAATAAAGATGCTCTATCATTTTGTATGTCATTTTGAGTGACAGTCTCCCTTAGCATCATCTCCCTGGTGAGTAAAATGAAGGTCTAATAGCATTACTTCACAGAGTTTTTATGAGAACTAAATGATACAATACATCACCTGGTGTTTACAACGACTGGTACATCAGAAGCAGTAAATGTGTGAAAGCTATGATTAAGTACAACCATAAAATATACCTTTCTGCAAAACAGAAACGTATAAAATTCTGCTAAAATCCTTACCATCTGAGAAATCTTTCCTGAAGAATCAAAGATTCCTTGACATGGTAAAGAGTAATTTCATAGTTCTGTGAATGTTTTCTCACAGAACCACATTAGAAAGATATTAGGCTATCCTTTGTGTAGTTTGCTTTATTGCCAATTGCCACAGAAACGTTGCTCTGTAATGTACACATCTATCTTTGATTCCAAAGTGCAAAAAGGTACTATATGAAACATACCAAAATATATTCCCCTACCAAGTAAAATGTAAAGCAGTATAGACACAGTATTAGTTTGTGTAAGATCATTTAAGATTCTATTTTATTCAAATATCATTAAGAATCTACCAAAATCTCAGCTCCATGCTATGCTGAGAAAACACAAAGGAAGAAGCAGCTGCGCTCCTATCCCATGGGACGATGCTGAGATGCTGAGACTGACATGTATCAAACAACCGGAGTCACTATGAGGAACAGTATGATTAATTACACACTAAATTGCACAGCACAGTTTTAAGAATTGTAGGAATTCAGAAGAGGATGATTAATGAGTCACAGGGTGGTTAAGTTTTGCACCTATAAGAAGGGAGGGAAAATGTAGCAGTTACCATATACATGACTTTGGTTAAGGCAGTTAACCTCTCAGCACTACTGTTTCCTCTTCTGTAAAATTTGACAATTTAATGCATGTAAAATGCCTAGGGCCATCTAAAGCAAGAAAGATTTGTGGTAGGGTCTTAGAGAATGCACAGCATCTGCCTAAAAAGAGAATTTTCAGACAGCAGGATATCCTCTGTCATGTAAAAGAGACACATACTGCTTTTAGGTTAAAAAAGGAAAAACTTTCATAATAGCCCTACTATAATAAGTACAATTTTCTGTGGTAAATAGCAATCACTTCCCCCTCAACCCCCGCATGGCAAAATAACTCCTCCAGCACATGAAACTTCGATGTGGGTTGAAATCCTAGAGAGTTCTTTCTTACAAGCAAAGGTTCTTTCTTTAAAAAAAGAAACGGCATAGAATATTCATATCTATCTGCTTTTCCTTCTAAATCCTTGCTTCTAACTGCCCTTTCACTCATTCAAAAGTGATCAAAACAAGGGTTCTCCATCTTCTATAATAGTTACATTCACAATCACTTCTCTACTATGATTTTCAGTAATGAGAAGAAATTTAAGTTTTTTCCCATTTCCTATATTCAATCAAACATTCCATATCATGGCTTTTTCCAAATGTACTGACAGTAAGAGAAGGAAGGGGCCTCTCGAAGTGTCTCAGTATTATCTGGGGAGATTACACTCACCAGAGTCCTGATTATATTGACATGCACCATTTATCACTGGAGTCTTTTCTAACGTTATCAGAGCACTAATTAATTACTCTTTCAGACATCATAATGGTGACTTTGACAAATAAAGCCACGTGTTTAGTACTTATCAAAGCCTGGTCCTGTTTTCTGCTCAAAAACAGAAGGCATATTAGTAATAAAAATTTCCATGTTAGGCCAAATTAGATACTCCAGTTCCAAGATAGAGGATGATCTAGTAATCAGAAAGAATTGGGTCTTGTAGAAAATTCCATTATTCACTCTTATCTATACAAAAGTCCTTTCAGCCACGAATTACAGGATCTACATCCATTTCTTGCAGAAAGAAATGAAGTAAGATCTGGAATCACTATCTTGGCTTGCTCAGAGAGGAGAGAAGACTTGGAAATACAGTGCTGGTAGTTTAAGGCTTTGTTATGTAAACTCACCTAAATACGTCAGTTCTTTCAGTGTTTGTCATACAGTGTGACCACAAAAATGTAAATTATTTGTAAAATAAATTGTTTTCCCTGTGGTTTCTGAGGTTTTGATGCATTGGCACAAATTCACTCTGACTAGGACTTGCATTACTGCAGATAGTAAAGCAGTCCTCCGATTTGCTAGTGGCAGACTGGGAGGAGAGCTGGGTGACAATCCGTGTACCCTTTACTTCTGCAAACACCAAGCCACAGGCAGGAGAAACTGTATTCTGTTCCTTTATTTAACATTCTAATAATCTATGCAAGACTGTGCAAGGCAGTGTACCAGGCACTAGGTAAACAGTGATAAACAAAACCATGATCCTGTCCTCCTAGAGTTCACAGTCTTTTCAAACATATTTTATGGTAGGTTTTGGCTTTAATTTTGCCTTTCTGTTATTGCCTATGTATATTTCTCGACTTGATAGCCAAAAAGAGATTCAAGATATGATAAGTCACAGCTGTTGGGCAGGACCTCAGAGCAAGCAATGGCAAGGTTGAAGGGGCCACTGCCAGGAAAGACTTAAGCCACACAGAGATGAAACCAAACCTCAACCCAAAAAGTATTCGTTTCATACCGCTATAACAAATCACCACAAACTTACTAGCTTAAACCTACACAAATAAATATCTTACAGTTTTGGAGGTAGATAAAACCAAGGTGTTGGCACAGCTATATTCCTTTGGAAGCTCTATGGGAAAATCTACTTCCTTACCTTTCCAGCTTCTAGAGGTTGCCTTTACTTCTTGGATCCTCGTTTCTTCCTCCATCTTCAAATCTCTTTCTCACCTCTGCTCTGGTCATCACATCTCACACTGACACTCTTGCCTCCTTATAATGACCAAGGTAATTACAAAGGGTCCACCCGGATAATCCAGGATACTCTTTGAATCTCCTGTTCCTTTACCTATCCATATTTCCAAAGTCCCTTTTGTCATGTAAGATAACATGGGCTCTTTCATAAGTTTTGAAGGTTAGGACATGGGTATCTTGGGAGGGCCACTATACTATAAAGGCAAAGCAAATTAAAAAAAATGTTTGTCTCTTTCACACCCTGGGTCAACTAACTGAAAGGTGGTATTCTGCAGTTTGTTTTCTACTTAAGACCATCTTGGTTATCCATTTTAACTGTATTTTCTTCATAAAAATGGTGGTGGGTGGCACCTCCACCAGAATTTCTCTGAAGCCTTGTAACTCTCTTAACACGTTTTCCTCACAAGTCAATTAAAACCAGAGACACTGACATCCCTCTTAAAGGAACTCTATGAGCTAATTGCCACTAATAGATACTTCACCGGAACCAATATTTTCCATCTCCTTGCAGAACTAAATTCGTTAATGGATTAATAGTTTATGGGGCTGGAAATAGCTTTTCTGTTTCCTGCAGTAAAGGGCCATGGAGCAAGATTTAGCAAATTGATCCTGCCTTAATTCCTGCAGACATTACATAGGACAAGCTCTTCTTTGACGCAGATGATAAAGTTAGAACTGGCAAGTAATAATATGCATCACTCTCGTGGTAAAAAGTCGCTCAGTAGCTTTTTCTCCCAGTAATGTCAGCAGTCAGAATTAATATTTTCATGTCACTTCTACTTGAGAAGAGTGAAAAAATTTACTATTCATCTTACTTTAAAAATAAAGATAAGATTTCTGCTCCTGACCATTACGGAATAACAGGGAATATATTTAGCTTCCTGCCAAGAAAGCACTGAAAACCAGAAAACACGTTTTCAGACGACAGCAAGCAGAGTGGTACTAGGAGTCCCTACAATTCCTGCAGCATACAAGCCGGACGTAGTATCTAGATGCATCGAAAGGCAGGTCCTCACTGCTTCGATCTCCGAGTCCGAGCTACATTTATTTACGTAAGTCAAATGATCGGTCCTTCCCAATAAATCCATACGAATCATACTAAAAGCACCCGGGGGGACAACAGGGAGCAGAGGAGGCAACCCCAGCAGCGGCTAGTTCCCGCGTCACGGTGACATGCACAGCCCTGACGTCATCCTCACGGAGACGCTCGCGAGACTAGAGGGTGGGCGGTGCCAGCGGCTCTTTTCGCCTATCGCGGCTTCTGTGAGGAAAACAGACGTTAACGTATCGTTGGTTCGGCTACTGCCGGCGTTAGCGGGCTGGACGGAGTGGAGAGGACCCCTCTCCCCGACGCCCGCGGTCTCCTCACCGCCGACCGAGCCTCAGGAGACCACGACCGTCTCCAGTGCCCGAAGCTCTGTGAGGAAACCGAGGCGTCACAGGTGATGGCGGAGACGGGTGAGGGGAGCTTGGAGATCGTCGCGCTCCCACCGCCTCAGCTACCAGAGGAGCGGGGCGCGCCTCGCGATGCTCCCCCGGATCCGGGCTGTGATCGTCCACCCCAGATCCGAGGCAGTGGGGATGGCGGCGACGTAGCAACCCCAGCCGGGCGAGAGGAGGCCCCGCCTCCCAGGGAGGTCCTGGAAGCGGTGTCTGTGTCCCTGGCAACGGACGGCAGCCTGAGAAACGGCGGTCAGCGGGTAGAGCGGCGCGGCCAGGGTGGGGAGGAGGCGCTGGAAACCTGTGTCGCAGAGAGGTTGGGGTGTGAGGTGATGGCGGAGGCGAAGACTGAAGAGGGCCGGGTCTCTTCAGTCGCAGTGGATGAAGAGGCGGCGGGGAAGGAAAGGGCGAAGGAGGAGGAGGGAGTGGAGCAGGAGATGCAGGTGGAGGAGAACCCAGTGGGTGAAGAAATAGAAATGGTGGAGAACAGACTGGTCGAGGAGGAGGAGGAGGCGGCGGCCAGGCACCGGCCCCTGCACATGAATCTCCGCATGAACCCGCTGGAGGCCATCCAGCTAGAACTGGACACTGTGAACGCTCAGGCTGACCGGGCCTTTCAGCAGCTGGAGCACAAGTTCGGGCGCATGCGTCGACACTACCTGGAGCGGAGGAACTACATCATTCAGAATATCCCGGGCTTCTGGGTCACCGCCTTTCGGAACCACCCCCAGTTATCCCCCATGATTAGGGGCCAAGATGCAGAGATGTTGAGATACATAACCAATTTGGAGGTGAAGGAGCTCAGACACCCTCGAACAGGCTGCAAGTTCAAGTTCTTCTTTAGAAGAAACCCCTACTTCCGAAACAAGCTGATTGTCAAGGAATATGAGGTCAGAGCCTCTGGCCGAGTGGTGTCTCTCTCCACTCCGATTATATGGCGCAGGGGCCATGAACCACAGTCCTTCATTCGCAGGAACCAAGAAGTCGTCTGCAATTTCTTCACCTGGTTTTCAGACCACAGCGTTCCAGAGTCTGACAGGATTGCTGAGATTATCAAAGAAGACCTGTGGCCAAATCCACTACAGTACTATCTGCTACGTGAAGGAGCCCGTAGAGCCAGACGTCGCCCAATAAGGGAGCCAGTGGAGATCCCGAGGCCCTTTGGGTTCCAGTCTGGTTAAACTTTGCCCTTGGGAATGCCCTTGCACAAGGTCCCCTTCCGCCTCTTGCTGGACCTGTGCTTGAGCAACAGAAATGGGTATGCCTTCCACTTTTTTCCCCTTTTCTTTGACATTCTGCAGCCTTTTTCCTCTGGACGTCAGTTCTCTTAGCCTCAAGACTGAGATTACCATGGCCATGGTCCTCCACTTCCACATGGCCTTCATGCTGTTCTCCGTTAATATCACATGCTGCATGGCCATGATTCACGCCAGGACTAAGCGAAGCAAGTGATGCTGTAAATTGCACTGCCTTTATCAGCACTGCTTGGATCCTGTTTGTTCTCAGGGCTTCTGGACTGGTTCTTACCACCTAGAATTCTAGCTTTGTCTAGGAGCCCATTCTACCCACTTTGCTCTGCAGTGTAGGTATACAGCCTGTGGACAATTGCAGAGCATTAATAATATCAAGGGGGAACAGCAGTGGGCTACTTGGTCTGTGTGATTTATGTGACTTTGTTGCTCTTCTTGTGCCTCTAGTCACTTCCTATTGCTGCCTGCTAATGGCTTTGCCTTTGGCTGCTATGTACTGGATGAACATCTTGTAGACTCCTGTCAACCCCACAGTGATTTCTGGTCAACAGTCTCCAGAACTGATGGTGGACCCAGGTTTCCTGCCAGCACACAAAAGACCCTTCCATCCTTCTCCCCAGAAGACCTTTCCTCTACTCTTCATGCCCTCTTTTTCCTCCACCCCCATCATCCAGGAACTGCTAACTGTCAAGGAAGTGACCGAGGTGACAAGTTAGACCTGTCCTCATGGCAAGAGTAAGGATAGTGTCCATTTGAAGAAGGAGGCTTCCTCAGCCTCAGCTAGTGAATTCACACAAAACCTAGGTACCTCTTTGTGCCTCCTTTTTTCATCCTGAACATGATTAAGTGCCAGGGTGGCAGTATACTTTCTCCATTCTCCCTCTCTTGTTTTGATAGCTCGAAAGCATCTGCAAAATCAGCTCTTTTAGATTAATTTAATTCTCTTCATTATTTCCAGGGACAGGCTGTCTTGTGTAATAGACTGCCAGAGCTCTTTTTTCCCTCTGCTCTCTAACCCATCCTTCATCCCCTTTAGCAACATCTAGAGGGCTTAAAGGGAGGCAGATTTAGATGGAATGAAAAGCAATATCTAGTTCATAAATGGATAGAAGAACTAAAGAGATTGTGATGGGTGCCCTGAACAAAAGACTATAGGCAAAAATGAGCCAGGTAAAAATTGGGTGTAAAATTGACTCACTGAGAGCCATCAAGGAAAGATTCTCTGTCAGTGGAGATAGGAAGAGAAATACTTTTTCTCGGGATTAACATGGAAGAATTGAAGGGGGTTGGAATGTTAAATACGTTGCCTAGAGGAGAGTTCTTTAAGGAAACAACATGACTTTGGTTGCTTTCTCTCTTGTTTTCATTTGACTTAATTTGGGAGGAAGATTAATACTGTGTCTTTATTTCACGTGTATTTAGTAAAATCTTGTTTTCTTTGTTTCCGCTTCTGGGGAAGTTGAGCTGTACAGGCTTTCTTTTGTTTTCATTTGAGAACATTTGGAGAAATAACAGTCTTATTTCTCCTGTACAGTATAGAGACTTAAATGAATATACATAATGGTTCTTGTTTCTGTTAAAAATGTATCCATAGAAATATAATTTGAATAACTTGTTCTTATCATATTCTTAAGACTTAGGAAATTGTTGTCTTCATAGAAAAATAACCTACTAAAAATGTATGGCTTAACTGTCTTACTTGATAATATCCCCTGTTAACAACTTAGTAATTGATGTGTCTCTTTTCCTAAGTAACAAATACTTGTGAGATTGCTCTGTAGAACTGAAAAGTATAGTTGGTACACTTGTCTTTCCTTATATGCATGATGGTAAAATAAAAGCATGTTACTCTGCTAGATTTCTTATTTCTCACCCTGTGGATAAACATGCATGAAGAAATTGTTCTAGAGACAGCAGATTATGGAATTCTTAAAGTTCTTAAATGGGATACAATAGGCATTATCCCAAAAGTAAGAAAATGGGGCACACTACTGTACCTTCAAAGGTCAGGAGGGTTGTTTTTGCTGTTGTAAAATATTAACAATTCCCACTGCTTACTCATCATATCACTTTTTTCTGTATAGCTTCTGCCACACCATCCCTCTTCACTTCCTTAAAGCCTCCATTTCTATCTTTGTAAATAATATTCTCAAGTCATTCAGGCTCTTTATTCACTTGTGCATTTAATAAGCAAACATTCATAGAGTTCTTATCATAAATGATACATACACTCTTCTATCTTCATACTTTGTCAACTGTAGAAACTTGTTCTTTTCTTCAAACTTCACTACCTTCTATGTCACATCCTTTAAGGTCTGTCATAGATAACTCTTCTGCCTTTTAGTTTTTCTGTTCTTTCTAGGGAAGTTATCTCTTTACGTTCTTGGAATACCTTGTAGGGACCTCCGTTCTAGAAAGTAACATGTAATTATTCATTATAGTGAATTCTATAAGTATTTATTGAGGCATTCTGTCAGGCCCTGGGAAGATAAGAATATAAAGCCCATTCCTTTTATTGTTAAAGAATAGAGGAAAGGCTAAAGTGCAAATAATTGACAAAGTGATACAGTTAAAATACAAAGATACACTTTCATATGTTTTTCACTCTCTTTACCTTCCTTTCTAGTTTGAAAGCTTTGTGAAAGCAGAGGTAGGGTGTCTCTTACTTTCATTATTGCATGTAGCATAATGTTTTGCACATGGTTGTCACCAGGTAAATATTTACTGAATGATAGAATGAATAACTCAAATGGAGAAAAGGAACAAAATAACCTATTACCCAGAAAAGACTTGATGAGGTGATGGAAAGAAGAAAACAGTTTTCAAGACATTTGTAAAACTGATGTCAAAAAAACTTGCAAAGCCTTTCTTAAATAAAAAATAAAGGAAAGAAAATTTCTTGTTCAAATAGTTAGAAAAGGTCCAAACACTATAACATTTCACTTGCCATTTTAATAGGGCATTATTTAACTTTGGATCAGCTTTTATGTGCTTTGTTTTTGTACATTTTAAGGTAACTATTATACTGGGGATGGAAGGGGTTAGATCCTGGATATGTAGTGTCCAATACAATACCCATTTGCCACCAGTGGCTCTTAAGCACTTGAAATGTGGTTAGTCCAAATAGAGGTCTGCTTTAAGTATAAAATACATACTTGATTTCAAAGACTTAGTATGAAAAAAAGGATGTAAAATATCTCAGTTTTTTATACTGATTGCATATTAAAATATTTTTAACACATTGGGTTAAGTAAAATATAAATAAAGTTAATTTCCCCTATTTATCCATTTTTTAATGTGGCTGCTGGTAAATTTTAAATTGTTTAGGACAGCATGGATCTAGACTTCTTGATGAATATCTCAAAGCATGTAAAATATATGTAAAAACTAAACATGTTATTATTTTGTCCCCATGAAATATTTTGTGACTTTAGGACAAGTATTACCTAGCTAAAATTCAAGATGAGTAAAGTATAGCTAGAAGCCAGTGGGTAAAAGGTAAAGTGAAATGTCTTTAATCAATTTAAATCTAAGATATACTTAGTAATATGTAAAACATACTGTGTAAAACTATGATTTTGGGTTTAAGTAGTATAGTTTTGTGGCAAATTTGCACTGATAGTTATATTGGTTAAAGTAGTCTCCTACAACATTTAGGACCTACAACTTCCTATTTTTCTAGAATAAAATGTTCTGTATTTTTTGATTTACAGATATATATGAAGCTCAGAAAATAAAATAATTTGTGGTTAAAGACACCACTTTGTGAATGTTAATGGGCTCCAAATTTTAACACTTGGCCAGCACCAGAAAAAAAATCTCAATCTAGCACTACTTGAAGAAGCTTATTTTATTTTCTAATATTTATATTTTATTTTTATGTTGTTTGTGCTTTCCTATAAAACATGCTTTATTTTTGAAAATTAGTGTAGTCTATATTGTAGTGAAAGTTGTAATTTGTACTTACTTTGTTTTGGGTACTATATTACAATTATATGGGACAGTATGTAAAGGTTGTCCTTGCCCTTGAGGAACTATTGCACTGAGTGGGTACTCTTCCTTTGATGTTTCCTCTTCTCCAGCAAATTCACATATGCAAGGCAGTCATGCCCATAAGAAAACCCAAGGGATTAATGTGGCCAAGAGGAGGTGTCAGGGACGATCAGGACTAGCTTCCCGTCCCTCAGTGTTAATATTTAATTGAAGTCTTAGACCGTATAGAAGTAACAGATAAAATCTTTACCCATTCATTAGTATGGGAGGTGTTTCACTTGTGAACAGTACTTTCTCCATGTTTGCTTGAAGTGAATTACTTCATTTCTGAAGGGTCACCTTGCTATGTTTCCTCTGACCTCTCATATGTTCTTGAAACCTACAGAAGAATTTCCATGGGGCCACATTAGGAAAACAATGTCTACTTCTTGGCTTCACTTTTTCAGGATTTGTATTTAATGTAATTTCCTTAAGAGCAGGCCAGGAAGAAATGATTCTATTAAAAGTTGTAAAAGGTCACTTAGGTAAGTTGTTAATTTTTATGCATAACCAAATGTTTTATTAGTGGCTTGAAGAGACAGAGAAGATACACTGGCTTTACATGGGATTAACTCAGTTTTACAGTCTACCACCTAGTGCATTGGCCAAAATAAATACCTTCTCTGAGTCTCAGTTTCCTTGTCCATATGCAGGGATGGTAATATCTTTATTATAAGCTAATATTCTCCCAAGCTGTATTTGGAGAATGCATTATATGTTTGTAGACAGATAATAACAGCAAACACTTGAGAGCTTACTATATGCCAGGCACGGTGCTAAAATATTCCAAGTATTAATAAAGTTTAGAGTGTAGAAATGCTAAGCACAATGCCTAGCATATAATATGTAGCCAGTAAATATTAATTTCCTTTATCTGCCTCTGAACTTTAATTTTTCATTTAATTTACATCCAGGCAAGTAGTCATCTAGCTTAATATTTCTCAAAGCTCACTGCCCATTCATTATACATAGCTGGGAGCTTTGAAAAAAATCTTGATGCTTAGGCTGTACCTAAAACCAATTAGATTTTTAAGGCAGGGGGAAGGGTATAGCTCAAGTGGTAGAGTGCATGCTTAGCACCCAAGAGATCCTGGGTTTGATCCCCAGTACTTCCTCCAAGTGGAAATCAAGGAATAAACCTAATTACCTCCCCCTCATAAAACAATACAAGATTTTAAGGTATAGATGTGTTTGAGAATCACAGATAACCAGCCTTTCTTTATAGACTTCTCAAGTGCGAGAATACCCACTCCTTTTCCAGTTTTGTTAAATTTGCTCAGAAATCTATTGCCGTACAACATCTATTGCAAAGATCTGGCATATATTTGCCTCTGAGCACATTTACTCTGTATTTTGACCCCTGAATTCTTGCAGAGTGGAATTAGCCTAATTCCATGAAAGAGCTCTAAGTACTTGAAGAGCATTACATCCTTTCAATCCCGCCCTCACCAACCTGGCTATATATCAATTATTTCAATATTCCTCATCTGTTCTGTATGCTAATTAAATAGGATTTATTATGCCAATGTTCTTCCTAAAGTCTGGTGCTCAGAATTGAACAAACTAACATTCAAATAACAGAATAGAATGAGATTCTTACTGCCTTTATTATAAATAGTGCATTTCTTTAAATGTATCCATGCAGAAACATGAATGAATCTCAAAAACATTAAGTGAAAGGTGCGAGATAAAAGAGTACATAGTATATAATTCCATATGTGTGAAGTTCAATAGCATGAGGAAATTTATCTGTGGTGATAGAAATCCAAATCTGGTTGCCTCAGGGTTGGGGAGAGTGACTAAAAAGAAGTATGAACAAACTTTCAGAGGTGATAGTAATGCTCCTTATCTTAATTTTGGTGATAACATAGATGTATCCATTTGTCAAAACTTGTCTAACTGTACACTTAAGTTTCATGCATTTTAGTGTATGTAAATTATAACCTCAATAAATAACAGATTTTAAAATATTATTGAGAATTCAAAAACTGGAACTCCATTTGCCCATCTCCAGTGTTTTGGCTTCTCTCCATCTGAGTTGTTCTTACATACTTTCATTTATAATTCCAATCTTGGAATTACTTTTTAAAAAACTTTTTCTCCCTTAATTCCAGGCCAAAGTTGATCTCTCTGAAGATTCCCTTAACTTACAAACTGAGGGGTTCTATCATCCTCTGGTCACTGAACAAGTTAAGTCTGCTCAGGACATATTGTCCTGTAAGTAGTACTGATACACTCAATAACAGTTTCCCTGGGACATCCTCAAGAATCTGAGCTTCCCGTTCCATTCCTGCACATTCAGATGCCCACAAGATGCTTCTCCGACCTTCCTTTAATCACAATTGAGTTCCTTGACCCATTGAGTCACAATTTGACCCTTGGGGATATCCAATTCTACTTCAAGTACCCATCTCTGTCTCCATAATCTTCTCAGCAGATTGTTAGAAATAGCACGAATTTCCATATATGCTCTCATTTTTACATGTGTAATCCTACAGTTTCCATATTACTATCCTCCATTAATAGTTAATGGTGAAATAGAGGCTCTGCTAATTGAAGTGTATTAATCTAGATGTAAGTAACACAGGCTGAATTCAATTAGAATTTATTTCAAGCTAGGGCACATTCCACCATATTGCAGCAGCCTATAATTTGGCATAAAAACGTAAAATCCTAATTAAGTACAAATATCTTGGCCTTAATTGAAAGTTATTCCTAATCCATTCATGAATGGCTTTAAAAAGGGATGTGTTTATTTATCCTTATGTATCTATTTATTAATGTTAAATAATAGACGATATCCAAGTCCTATCAGATTATAACTATTTCCTATATTGAAAGTGTAATATTTGATATTTACTGCCTGAATTAAATTGCTTGGTTTTACTTTTTCTCAGAACAGAATGGGCCAAATAGTCAAATGTTTTAACATCCTACTGGAATTTGGCTGTTGAGATGCAAAGAACTATTTATATCACTAAGAAATGTAGAGAATGTATATTAAGGTTTGAGTCAATAGAATGATTGCTTTATACAGGCACATAATACTTACTTCTCATCCTTTTCACCAAGCTCTAGCTTCTCTTAGCATGGTAAAATTAAGAGCTGTGTTGAGATGGTCTAAGAAGTGATGGGTACATGGTAGTCCAGGTGCTGTTGTAGTCAACGATTTTAAGTAATAGCCAGACTTCTTGAATTTACTCTTGGGTCAGTTTGATGAATCCTCTCCAATTAGCTTTTAAAAGCATAGATTTCACATAACTAATTTTTTTCCTTAAGATATTTTATAAAGTCTTTAAAGTAATATTATGTGGAAGAATGTGGTAAAGCATTTTAGTTCTAGCAGTAAACTTTTTTCGTATGAATTTGAAATATACTATATACCTAGAATCATTTAAAAATAACTGGAATATAGTGGACAAGTAGTACTATGTCCTAATATTTCCTGTTTTTCTCAGATTATTCAAATTATCTTTTACTTGGTCCAGTTCAACTCTCCTTTCTTTCACTTACTGCTTCATTCTTTATGGATTCCTGTCATAGTTTAACTTTCATATATTTATAGTTTCATTTTGACATTGATTTAATAGTGTCTGCACTACATTCAATGTAGGTAAGTCTTAGCATAAAAATACTAAGTTACCAAGTCAGCTTTTATTTATTGAAAGCCTAGTGGGATAAATATTTTACACATATTTCATCTTTACAACAGTCCTATAAATTAAGTTCTATTATATTCATCTTATATATAAGGAAACTGGCTCAGAGAAGTCAAGTGATCTGCTCAAACTGAACAGCTAGTAAGTGACACAAAAGAGATTTAAGCCAGATCTGATTCCGATGCATGTGTCTTTACAGAGTGT